AGCTTATGTGGAACAACCTAAAGGCTTTGTGGATCCAACCCACCCTGATCATGTCTACAAATTGAGAAAAGCTCTATATGGCCTGAAACAAGCTCCTAGAGCATGGTATGACAGGTTAACAAAGTTTCTCTCATACAAAGGCTACAGAAAAGGAGGCTTGGACAAAACTCTCTTTGTCAAAACTGAAGGAGGGAAGTTGATGGTTGCCCAAATATATGTTGATGACATAGTGTTTGGAGGAATGTCAGAACATATGGTTAAACACTTTGCTGACCAGATGCAGGCTGAATTCGAAATGAGTCTCATGGGAGAACTAACTTATTTTCTTGGACTGCAAGTCTCACAGATGGAGGACTCAATCTTCTTATCTCAAAGCAAGTATGCTAAGAACATTGTAAAGAAGTTTGGTATGGAGAATGCAAGTCACAAAAGGACTCCTGCTCCTACTCATCTAAAGCTTTCCAAAGATTCAAGTGGGGTTAAGGTGGATCAAAGTCTGTACAGAAGCATGATAGGAAGCTTGTTGTACTTAACTGCCAGCAGACCTGATATTGCCTTTGCAGTTGGAGTTTGTGCAAGATACCAAGCTGATCCCAAAGTCAGTCATATCAATCAAGTGAAGAGAATTTTGAAGTATGTAAGTGGAACTTACAACTATGGGTTGATGTATACTCATGGCTGTGAACCAGCTCTGACTGGCTACTGTGATGCTGATTGGGCTGGTAGTGCTGATGATAGAAAAAGCACCTCTGGAGGATGTTTCTTCTTGGGAAATAATCTGGTTTCCTGGTTCAGCAAGAAACAGAATTGTGTGTCTCTTTCTACTGCTAAAGCTGAATACATTGCAGCTGGTAGTAGCTGCTCTCAAATGATCTGGATGAAACAGATGCTCACTGAGTATAATGTCACACAAGATGTTATGACTTTGTACTGTGACAATCTAAGTACAATCAACATTTCCAAGAATCCCATTCAGCATAGTAGGACCAAACATATTGACATACGACATCACTTTATCAGAGACCTTGTAGAAGAGAAGACAATCAAATTGGAACATGTTGCCACTGAGCTACAGCTGGCTGACATTTTTACCAAGGCTCTGGATGCAAATCAATTTGAAAACTTGAGGGGTAAGTTGGGTATTTGCCAACATGAGGAATTGTAGCAATTAATTTTGCTTAAAACAAGGATTAAAGGAGTTATGCTTGTTCTGATTGGGTTAAAATTATATTTTCCCATTTCCTTCAATTCTTTTAAGAAGTTGAATAGACACTCCTTTTCTTCCTTCCCCTCTCGTCTCCTCATCAAAACCCAGTCTCTCAATCAGAATTTTCTCTTCAGTTGCTGTTGGTCCTCTAAGACTGTCAAAATGTCTCAAACACCATCATCATCCAATACGACTATTTCAACCTCTTCCTCTGATCAAGATTCTAGGACAATCTCTTCCTGTCTGGACTCTGAAGTCCTGGAGATCTCTTCTTGTAGAAAAGTGGGAACTAACCCCACCAAGGTCAAAGAGTTGAAAACAAGACATGCAGGAAAGTCCCAAGCTTCTGCCTCTGGTAATCCATCTCATCCTTCTTCTTCAGTTCCCCCTGAAATTGCAAATAGGGAAGGGTCAGCCTATGTTAATCAAGCAATAGCAAGAATTGTTTCAAGAATTCTGAACGAGAACCACTCAGTTCCTGGCATTTCTGTTCCTTTGAATCAAGAAAGTTCAAATCCAGATGTCTCTAAGGATGTTGAGACATCAGACAAAGAGAAGAATGCTGATATTGCTCACAAGAAAAGGAAGAAGCCCGAATCCTCTGAGTCTGATGACAGTGCTTAAAGGTTGGTTGCTGTTTGGTGGTGTTGCTGGTTGGTGCTGATATCTGGTGGAGTTTGGAAGTGTGTTCAGTTTTTTTCTGCTGCTGCTCTTATTATTTGTTTTGGATAACTGTATAATCTTTATGAACATGTATCTTTGGCCCATTTGTGGCTAAAGAGGGGGAGAATATTTTGGTACTTACTTAATTAGTACTTGCTCAATTAGACATTCTATTTTTCTGCAGTCATTTCTTTCTGCTGCTATCTATCTCTGATTGCTTAGGGTCTTTAGCCAAAAATCTGCCAAAGGGGGAGTTTGTAGTTGTTTAGGTATTGGCTTGCATTTTTGGTAAAACCCAAGTGTATGTGTGAATGTCATGACTGATGTCATAACATTCTAGTTTAGTTTGTACTGATTCATTAGGTACCTTTGCAAAAAAATATTGTCATTCAGGTACTGATGTTTATAAGTGTGTATCTGAGCATTTTGCAAAATGATCACATTTTCCTAAATCAGTAGACAGGTTTCTCAGATGTCATAACAGATGTTAAGACATCCTGTTCTGAACTAACAGGTATGCAGGTTGGTTAAATTCGAGTTTTTTCAGGAAAATAACTCAGTCTTTCCAGAACAGAATCCTGCGTTTTCTTTGGGTTAACCTAGCTCAACCCTAACCTGGTTAATAAAGTCCTGTGACCTAGTCTTAAGGACAAACGGAATTAACCCTAGGTTTTTGTGGAAACCCTAACTGAAGTTGCAGCTGCTATATATTCAACAGAGCTGCTATTTTGCAAGTAATCCCTTTTTGGTCAGAAGATCATTTGTAAACTGTATAGGTTTAATTATTGTACTCCAAGCAATTATCATTGTGATAAGTGACTTGGAATAGGTTTTTAATTGTAAGGGTTGTGTAGCACTCAAAGCTTTGAAGCAAGAGTGTTTGAATGTTTCTTAACTAAAGCTGTGAAGCAGAGTCAAGTTAGTTGTGTGCATCACTCAAAGCTGTGAAGCAAGAGTGGTTGTGTTGCTTGATTAGAAAGCTGTGAAGCTTAATCAAGTGTATGTTTTTGAAGAGTGTCTTCATCAATTCATTAGTCAAATTATTTTATGTATCACTGCTGTGATTGAGGGGGAGTGAGTAGGAACTCAGGTTTAAGTTGTACTTAGATTGAAATTGCATTGGGTAGGTCTTAAGTGAAGGAGATAAACTGGTTGGTTTATTCCTGAATTAACATCTCTTATAGTGGATTTCCTCCCTGGCTTGGTAGCCCCCAGAGTAGGTGTTGTTGCACACTGAACTGGGTAAACAATTGACTGTGTTCTTTATTGTTTTTGTATTTACTGTCATATAGTAAGTCAGATACGGTGTCATAACATTGAACGTGACATTGAGTATCTGCAGTCAAAATTTCATGAATAAATATAAATCTACCTATAACTAACTTATGGTTTAGAAAAATGTTAAACTGAGCAAAATATGGAACTTCTAGCTTATTTGAACGATTGTCCATGCTATGTCCTAGGTGAATAAATTCCTAGAACGATTTTAGACGAAAACTACATTTCATAATATTATTTTGATAAGTTAAATGACTATTGGCATAAACAAGTATCATACCACATGTGTTCCAGACTTACCTGTACAACTAATTACGCGCATGATAGTCACGAATCACACCCATGATCAAAGATAGATCCGAAGGCACAAACTCGTCGAGTTGATAGAACTTCCTATCTCAATTGACATTCCAACAAAGTTCTTATATTTATGCCATGGAATCCTTCATTGAATCGTGACATAGTCCGTGCAACTCCGCAGAAGCAGAGCCGATAGCATTGCTCTAGCTATTACCAATCCTTGAAACATGATATGATCTGATCTACAGTCCGCCCTACGCATCGATTAAATCACCTCCATCTCCTTCAGTTTGTATGAATTGCATATCATGTCTACCACATTCATATCATTTGTATGTATGCGCACAGAACATACATTTCGTTGACCGGCTGTGCATCTTTTGTCACAGTATGACAATCAATCTCTAGAGCTCATAACTGTATTACGTAATTTTCGTAGCAGTCTGGAAGCCTACCTCCTGAAAGGAAAGTTCATAACAATCTTTCGTCATATATCGAATGTGTCCAAGTCCCCGTAACATATACTCTAGCAGTATTCAACCAACAATGGACATTCACAAGACTAAACAACAAGAAATAGCTGGAAGAACTTATCTTTTTATCGGACTTGAAGCTATATTTGTGTCACAGCCGGGAATGGAGTTATCCTCAGAGCTAAAAGTCCGGCTGCTACCTCGACGGATGACTGGTATTAGTTGATTCTCCATAGTATTTCGAGCTGGAGTTGACCGAAGGTACGATATAATCGCCTCGTCCGCGCATTGATCTAACAGCTAACAACCCTTGTTATTTGTCGACCCCATCATCTAAACTCAAGTTACGATGAAGACCAGCTGCTCTTTGCACATACAATCTAGAATACATGGCTGTCCGGCTCCTTGAAGGAATGGTGAGCGTCTCTCCTTTCTCCTCTGCAGCATGTATGATATATGATGATATAAGTTATAATTGGTATTAACTTCTCGATGGACAGTTACAATACTACAAGACTACTTCCTCAGGGATGGTTACAAACATTAAAACCACAGTTGTAATACCATTCGTAGCTGCTGCTATAATGTAAAAACCCGTTGACCACTGGAAACCAGGGATCCGAGTAAGACTTTTGTCAAGATAATCTTAAAATTATTCTCAACAACAGATTAATACCACACATGACATTTTAACAAACACTTAGTAGTCACAGTAGTGTAAATCACAAAAACTTAAGAAGATTTTATTGGAGGTATAGGATAGTCGTGAGGTGTCAATATATTAGAGGATTAGAATCCCTAGTTCTGTTTTCTTATTGGCTACATATAAATAAGAGTTAGTTGATTGGTCTAACTAACTATAACAAATTGTAACAGATTCAGATAATGAAATACTTCATCTTCATCTTTTTCTGGTTTATACATCACATTATGCTAGTTACAGGTTTCAGTTCCACCATGCCTGACACACTCGATATAGTATCAGTAGATTTCATCTGTAGATCTTACTTCAGCAAGGTTTGATTTTTGTTCCGCTTCCGATTCTTGTTGTCAAGCTCGTATTCTCTATCTGCATCGTCATGGAAAATCAACAGCAGAATCCCATGTTCATCCATCATTCAGATCATGCCGGTCTCGTTCTTGTATCACATCTCTTGACGGAAGGGAACTATTCGTCGTGGCGTCGTGCTATGCTCATCGCTCTTCGTGCAAAGAACAAGATCGGATTTATTGATGGTTCGATTCCGAAACCTCCAGATGGTGATCCTGGCAACGCAATGACAAAGGCGTTGTATCGTGGCTTTTGAACTCAGTTTCAAAAGAGCTCATCACCAACATCATCTACGCCTCCACCGCGAAGGTGATTTGGAATGACCTTCAAGAACGTTTTTTTGCAAAATAACGGTCCCAAATTGTTTCAACTTCACGAGGATTTCACCAACTGCACTCAAGGTACTCTCTGAGTCGGTGCCTATTACTCAAAAATGTCTTTGGGAAGAACTCGCTGAGTTTCGTCTTGTTCATCAGTGTGTTTGTGGTGGCGTCAATCCTCTGATTGATCACATCTACCATGAGTATGTTCTTACCTTTTTGCTTGAATTGAATGAAAGCTTTAATCCAATTCGCAGTCAGATCTTGCTCATGGATCCCTTGCCATCGGTTAGTCGTGTGTTCTCATTGGTAATTCAAAAAGAAAAGCAAAGTGTTGTTAAAGTTATTAACATTGAAAACAATGCCAATCTTGCTTATCCTGTCAATGATTCCCATGGTTCAAAGACTCGAAATGGGAGGAAGGATAAACCCATGTGTTCATATTGTGGTGTTCTTGGCAACTTTAAAGACAAGTGCTTCAAGCTTCATGGCTATCCTCACGGATTAAAAAAGGGTAAAGCATTCAACTCTTCTCAACTTAATGCTAATGTAATCAACACAGAAATCATGGAGGAAGACACTCCTTTGAACACAAAATAGTATAAACAACTCATAACATACATTCAAGGTCAGATGGCGAGGCAATCAAATTCAGACTCTTCACCAGGTGATTCTGTTGGTATGGCTTTTACTTCATCACATCACAATGAATATTATGCTAGCAATATGTGGATAATTGATTCAGGAGCTACATCATATATTTTTCATTCTTTAAGCATGTTTATTTCATATAAATTTATATCTCACAAATTTGTGACATTACCTAACAATAGCAAAGTCCTTGTTTCTGCCATAGGCACAGTTGTTTTCAATCCTCATCTCACATTACACAATATGTTATACATTCCTGCTTTTCGCATCAATCTTTTGTTTGTTGGTCAGTTGCTACAACAGTCCTATTTATCTGTTATTTTTTCTAAATCTGGATTCATGATTAAGGACGATCAGCAGGGGAAGGTAACTGGTTCGCGTGATTACACTTGTGGTCTCTACTTCCTCAAGAGCACATCTGATGTTTCCCCTGATATGTTTACTGAACATGTTAACAATAGTTCCTCAAGTATACCAGACTGTAATTCTGTTGGCAATGTTTCTTTTTCTACTTGGCATGCTAGATTAGGGCATTTATCTGACCAAGTTTTACAAGCTATTCACAAAACCGTTCCAGCTTTATTTGTTCTCAATAAAGATAATCGTGAATTTTGCAAAGTTTGTCCTCTTGCCAAATTCCATCGTTTGCCTTTTATTTTGCACAATAATCATCAAAATTCACCATTTAATCTAATTCATTGTGATGTGTGGGGTCCTTTTGCTAAATCTACATATGATGGCTATCATTATTTTTTAACCATTCTTGATGATAACATTAGATACACTTAGATTCATTTAATGAAGCACAAATCTGAAGCAACTTTGTTGATCAAACTGTTTTTCAAGTTCATCAAAACACATTTTCACACTACAATAAAGGGAATTCACAATGATAATGCCAAAGAACTGCAATTGACTAAGTTTTTACAAGTTGAAGGAGCTACACATCAGTTTTCACATAGACCTCAACATAATTCAGTGGAGAGAAAACACCAACATCTGCTTAATATTGCAAAGGCATTGATGTTTCAGTCAAAAGTTCCAATACGATTTTTGGGTGATTGTGTCAACACAAGTGTTTACTTGATCAACAGAGTTCTCTCTCTTAGCTTAGATAATAATTCACCTTTTAAAGTGTTACAAGGTAAGCTACCAGATTATGAATCCCTAAGGGTATTTGGTTTTCTGTGTTTTGCTTCTACCATACCTGCTTATAGATCAAAATTCACTCCTCGTGTCTCACCCTGTATTTTGCTTGGCTTTCCTCAAGGTGCCAAAGGTTATATAAACTTCTGAACCTAGAAAATAGAAAGATTTTGGTCACTAGGAATGTCACATTTCAGGAATCTGTTTTTCCTTTTCAGTGTATTATAGATGACACAATCCTATCACATTTTTTTCTGACACTGTATTGCCAAAAACCATAACAGATTCTTTTTCTCCAAATGACCTAAACCCTTTGGTTAATAATGAGGTTCATGATCCACAGCATAACATAGATTTCCCTGTCATAATTCCAAACAACCAAGTATTGCCTGTTGAAGAAAATGCACCTCTTCCAAGGCCAACTAGAACTCGTAGACGCCCAGTTTACCTTCAGGATTATCAATGTAATGTTAGGTACCACATACAAAATCACTTGGCCTATGACAAGCTTCAGCCAACTTACAAACAGTTTATAGGTCAAGTATCCAACATTTATGAACCTTCCTTTTATCATCAAGTTGTTTCCAGTTCTGAATGGAGACATGCCATGGTTAAAGAAATTGTTGCTTTAGAGTCAAATAACACATGGACTCTGCAAAGTCTCCCTCATAGAAAAAGAGATGTAGGTTGTAGATGGATTTACAAAGTTAAATACAGAGCTGATGGATCTCTGGATAAATACAAGACACGATTGGTGGCTCGAGGGCTCACACAACAGGCTGGGGTTGATTTCTTGGATACTTTTTCTCATGTAGAAAAACTCACCACATTGAGCAATAGTCCTAGACCTTTGATCTTAACCTCCATAACCTAATAGATAAATCTTCAACACTTCTTCAGGTGAATACCAATAACTCCTTCACAAGTAGAGGCCTAGCTCTTGTGCTCCTGTAAATTATATCAGAATTAAAATGACCCGATAATATTTAATAGACTGATCAACCTCTTCATTCAAGACATATTCAGGATCTTTTGAGGATAAAATATATGATACTTATGCAAAACAAGAGCATACAACTGTATCTATTTTCCAAAACTCTCACTCTGCAGGCATTAATCAGATTCATGAAATAAGTTCTTGAGATTTCTCAACTAATGATGTTGCACCCTGGTGTAACATATAGACTTTCGATCTCTTGAATGCCAAATAAAGGGTAAGCAAATAAATACTTGTGAATGTCATAAATAGCAATTTATTTTAAATCCTTATTCAAATGACCATACACACGATCTAGAGGAGATCAACACTACAGGGACACAAAACATGTATTTTCCCATGTCAAGGACAATGTTGAGACATTAAGGCAGACATCCTTTACTCAACTTGCCATGTGTTGTACCCCAAAATTTTCCCTTCCATTTTTATTCAAGACATTCTCCTAGGGTTCTCAAATGCTCAAGGTTGCTCAAATGCTCAAGGTTGCTCAAGAATTGATCAGACAAATTCTCCTCCTAAGCAATGGACTTATAACTAGGGTTCCACTTTCCTCAAGAAATATTGGGTTTCTAAGGTCTCAAGTGGATTTCATGGTTTCTCATATGTCTCTAAGAATTCTCATTCCAAGTTTCAGGCCTTGCATCACAAGTTTGCCCAGTCAATTGCTCAGATGACTAAAAATCAACTGTTTTGGACAAAAAGTCAATTGTGGTCAACATACAGTCAAACCTTAAGATTTTTGGTCAACATCAAGATTTTGAAGTCATATTCATCATTTTATCAAGATTTCATCATGATTCATCAAGAAAAATCTCAATTCATCAAAAGTCAAAAGTTGCCAAATTAGGATTTTCTTTAGGAGAAGTCAACTAAACTTTGACCAAGCATAACTTCCACATGCTTCATCATATTTTACTCAACCAAAGCTTATTTTGAAGGAAATTCAATTCTCTACAATTTTGTCTATCTAAGCTCAAGTCCAAAAAATGCTTCATTTGAGAGATATGGGCCAATATATTATAGGTCATTCAAAAGTCAACAAAAAGGCACTTTTTGTCAAGGCAACTTACATCAAGATAAAATCTTCAAATGCAAAAATGATCAAAATAGGGATTGTGGAGGAAATCTTGGGATTTCCAAAAAGTCCAATCACCTTTAAATGATGAAAATTGAAATAGTTATGACTAGTGCAAGTTGGGAAATTTTGAGCAAATGCATGAAACTAAAAAGTGATCAAACTTAGAATTTTTGGCTATTGGGCTTGTGATCCAAAGTCCAAATGTGTTATGAAACTTATAATGAACCTCGGATCTTACTCATGCACCCCTTGACCTTTTTTTATTCAATTTATTTTGATTTTTATTCATTTTTAATTCAAAATAAATAAGATAAAAACAAGGCTTTTTCATACAAAGTCCAAACCCAAATGATTTAACTTAATCTCATCCTTATATATCTCACTCATTCAGACAAACCCTTAGACACGAGATCCCTTACAAAAACACATCTCCTAAGTTCCAAAAATATCAAAGAATTAGGGTAACTCATAAACCCTTGTTGCAGCCACTCTCGAGGCATACTAACCCTTCCATTCACTTCTTGGAGCACAGTACGGCGAGAATGGGTCATCCTTGATGATCCAAAGGGCTCGAAACACATTACATGCATCATAGTTTTGTCATTATTTCATAAATTCATATTTATGTTTTCTTGATGTTTTGATTAAAGCTAACATTATTAATGTGTTTTGAGATATATTAGTGCAGGATTAGACCATAGCAGGAGTTCCATGCTGCCAGAATCGTGCATCACCATGATTGTACAGATTCCCTTTATTCTGGCCATATCTCTTGTTACAATCTGTTTCATCCCAAACCAATACTCTCATTGAACTCGCATGCCTTGAATTAGGGGGTAGGATCCTTTGGGACATCTAATGTTTTTTGCCTTGCAGGTTTGAGAAACATATTCACCAGAGAAGACGACCAGAGTTAGGACTCTGGCACTTCTCCGGTCCATGCAACGTTGCTATTTTATATTAGTTTTGTTTCATCAATATCATAAAATGTATCACCACCCCAGTGGTAGCGCGCTTGCCTCTAAGTCATTACTATGCCAAGGCGTGGGTTCGATCCCTGGTTTTGGCATTTTTTTTCCTTCATGTTTTCTACTTTTGCAGATCAAGTGCAGCACGTCATATAAGCCAACTATGCACCCAACCACATCTCACCATCAGATCTTCATAGATCTAATCTAACGTCTCAGATGCACTCCCCCGCGATGCACTTTCACTGAGGCCACTCACTAGATCTCATGGTTCAGCGTTTGGGCCTGGGCCCCTATTGCAATTCATACCCCCTCCTTCTGCTTAATCAGGCTCAAACTTCTTTTTTTTATTTATATTTTTCTCTTTTACTTATTTGTTTTTTTATTATTTAATTAAAACACCAAAATATTAGTTTTAGTTTAAATTAATTAGGTTTCATTTTAATCATCCTTTTTTTAATTAATTAATTTAATTAATTAATTTTCTTAATTAAAATTAATTAGATTCTTAGGTTTTTCTAATTAAATTAATTGACTTTTTTAATTAAATTAGGTTTTAAGTTTTTTTTAATTAATTAATCACAAATAATTTTTTATAAAAAACACCAAAAAATATTCACATTCTTTTCTATTTTTATTTTCCTATTTTAATTTCATAGATCAATTGTATAGGCCGCGCGTTTCCTATGTAATGGATTAGGTCTTTATTTCCCGCTTTCTTCTTCACTATTATGTAACTTCCCCAAAGCTCTGTAATAGC